TAAGATTTTATTTTATTTTTTTAAGATTTTATTTATTCATTCATGAGAGACACAGAGAGAGAGGCAGAGGCACAGGGAGAAACAGGCTCCATGCAGGGAGCCCGATGAGGGACTCGATCCTGGAACTCCAGGATCACACCCTGGGCCAAAAGCAGGCGCCAAACCTACTAAGCCACCCAGGCGTCCTTTCAATAAGGTTTTTATTTTTATTTATTTATTTATTTATTTATTTATTTATTTATTTAAAAAGGGAGATTTCTTTTTTTTTTTTTTTAAATTTATGATAGTCACAGAGAGAGAGAGAGAGAGAGACGCAGAGACATAGGCAGAGGGAGAAGCAGGCTCCATGCACCGGGAGCCCGATGTGGGATTCGATCCTGCGTCTCCAGAATCGCGCCCTGGGCCAAAGGCAGGCGCCAAACCGCTGCGCCACCCAGGGATCCCAGATTTCTTTTTTTTTTTTAAGATTGATTGATTGATTGATTGATGATAGACATAGAAAGAGAGAGAGAGAGAGAGGCAGAGACACAGGAAGAGGGAGAAGCAGGCTCCATGCCAGGAGCCTGACATGGGACTTGATCCCAGGACTCCAGGATTGCACCCTGGGCCAAAGGCAGGCGCTAAACCATTGAGCCACCCAGGGATCCCCTCAATAAGATTTTTAAATCAGAAATGGGTATGAGGACACCCAGGTGTCTCAGTGGTTGAGCCTTAGGTTCAGGGAGTGGTCCTGGAGTTCTGGGATCGAGTCCCGCATTGGGCTCCCCGTGAGGAGCCTGCTTCTGTCTTTGCCTCTCTCTGTGTCTCTCGTGAATAAATAAAATCTCTTAAAAAATAAAAAACAGAAATGGGTGTGAATTATGACAAATGTTTTACTGGCAACTGTGGAGATGATCATGATATTTTTTCTTAGAAATATAATCAATTACATTAATGGATTTCCTAATATTGGAATTATTTCATTCCTGTAGTGAATATCACTTGGCCATAATGTATATCTTTAAAAATGTGTTGTTGGATTCTATTTGCTAATATCTTATTTAAAGATCTCTGCGTTGGGACACCTGAGTGGCTCAGTTGTTGAGTGCCTCCCTTCAGCCCAGGGCATGATCCTGGAGTCCTGGGATCAAGTCCCACATCGGGCTCCCTGTGTGGAGCCTGCTTCTCTCTCTGCCTGTGTCTCTGACTCTCTCTCCTGTGTATCTCATGAATAAATAAAACCTTAAAAAAAAAAGTTCTCTGCATCAATATTTTCTTTTTTTTTATTTTTTAATTTTTTTGTTTGTTTTATTTATGATAGGCACACAGTGAGAGAGAGAGAGAGGCAGAGACATAGGCAGAGGGAGAAGCAGGCTCCATACACTGGGAGCCCGATGTGGGATTCGATCTCGGGTCTCCAGGATCGCGCCCTGGGCCAAAGGCAGGCGCTAAACCGCTGCGCCACCCAGGGATCCCCAATGCATCAATATTTTCAAGTAGGCCTATTCTATTGTTTTATGTATGTATGCAATCTTTTTCATTTTTTCCCGTCAATGTTCATTTCATAAATTTTTTTAATCTCTTTTTTCTATGGCCAGAATATTTAAATAGAATTAAGATTATATTTAGAAAAGCCATTTATGTGATGGTTTGAGTTGTGAGCTGAACTAATCACTCATTTTACGGAACACCATTTTTACTTGAAAGAACAACTAAAAAACTATAGTTACTCTGACCTGGATATTTGGTAGACATTTTCTCAAAAATAAACAAAATGAGTTTGTCACGTCAAGGAAAACAGTGACAGTATTTGTTGCCAATGATAAAATTTAAGATTTCCTTTTTCTAAAAGATTTTATTTATTTATTCATGAGAGACAGAGAGAGAGGCAGAGACACAGGAAGAGGGAGAAGCAGGCTCCCCACAAGGAGCTCGATGTGGGACTCGATCCCAGGACCCTGGGACCATGCCCTGAGCCGAAGGCAGACACTCAACTGCTGAGCCAGCCAGGAGTCCCAAAATTAAAGATTTCAGAGAAAAATTAGAATTTTGGAAAACTTGTATCTGTAACTGTGAGCCTGACAACTTTCCAATATTCGAAGATTTTTCTGATGAAACAGGTAGTAATATCAACAAAAATGATTTTTAAAATTATAAAATAAAATGTGTCAATAATTAACATTACATAATGAAATATGTAAATGTATATAACTTAGTGAACCAATATTTTCCAAATGACTCATTTGGTCTAAACATAAGATGTTACACATTCATTAATATAGTGCTACATCCCACATCACAACTAGCTTTTAACAAACTCCCATCATTTTGGTGGAGTGTCAAAGAAAAATTTTCACAATTATCTGAAGAGGCTATTAAAATACTACTGCCTTTTCTACCTACATATTTGGGTAAGTCCAGATCTTCTTCACACATTTTAACTGAAACAATCTGCCGCAATAGAATGAATGTAGCAGGAAATGCACAAACACAGCTGCTTTCTATAAAGTCAAATAGTAAGAGATCATAAAACGCTACTCTTCTCACTAAATTGTTTTATTTTGAAAAATATAACTATTTTTCACAGGTTATATTACTATTTAATGGGTTTATTATTGTTGTTTTCAAACGAATTAATTAAAAAAATTTTTTGGTTTTAATTGCTAATACCATACATATGATAGATACTATCCACATAAACAAAAGTTTTTTGGGAAGAGAGTTTTCAGTAATTTTTATTTTTATGATAGTGACACAGAGAGAAAGAGAGGCAGAGATATAGGCAGAGGGAGAAGCAGGCTCCTCGCAGCAAGCCCAACGTGGGATTCGATCCCAGGTCTCCAGGATCGCGCCCTGGGCCAAAGGCAGGCGCCAAACCGCTGCGCCACCCAGGGATCCTCAGTTTTCAGTAATTTTTAAAATGTAAAGGAGGGGGCACCTGGGTGGCTCAGTGGTTGAGCGTCTGCCTTCCGCTCAGAGCATGATATGGAGTCCTGGGATTGAGTCCCACATTGGGCTTCCCTCAGGGAGCCTGCTTCTCTCTCTGCCTATGTCTCTGCCTCTCTTTCTCTGTGTCTCTCATAAATAAATAAAACCTTTTAAAAATAAAATAAAATAAATAAATAAAATGTAAAAGAGTTCTAAGGCCAAAAAGTTTGAGAACCACTGCTTAGTGGATTCCTCAGGGAAAGCTCATGTCTACATTTTTTGTCGGCAGCCTTTTATACCTGAACACAATGCGGGGAGAAATAAAGTTCTTGGATCATATTTTCTTTTTGAAAATCTTGAAAATGCTGTCACATTGTCTCTAGCATAAAATGCTGCTGTAGAGAAGTCTGATGTCAATATATTTTTCTTTGCCTTATAAGTGACTAGTACTTTTTCAACTGGATGTTCAGAGGGGTTTTTCTTTATCTGTAAGACTAATTGTTTTATTAGAAAACGTTTTGGTTTTGATTGTCCTGGATCAGTTTTCTCCTATATACAGTATGCCCTTTCAATAGGTAGATTTAAGACTTTTTTAAAAAAAAAAGATTTTATTTATTTATTCATGAGAGACACACAGAGAGAGGCAGAGACACAGGCAGAGTGGGGAGCAGGCTCCATGCAGGGAGCCGGACGTGGGACTCGATCCTGGGTCTCCAGGATCACACCCCAGGCCTAAGGCAGGTGCTCAGCCGCTGAGCCACCCAGGCATCCCAAGACTTATATTATTTCAGGAAAATTTGTTCCAAGTTTTATTTTATTTTTTTTAAAGATTTTATTTATTCATTCATGGAGACAGAGAGAGAGAGAGGCAGAGACACAGGCACTGGGAGAAGCAGGCTCCATGCAGGGAGCCCAATGTGGGACTCAATCCCAGGTCTCCAGGATCATGCCCTGGGCTGAAGGCAGGCGCTAAACCGCTGAGCCACCCGGGCTGCCCATGTTCCAAGTTTTAAATATTTGTTAATACGTTGTTCTCTGTTTTTTCTTGGAGGAATAAATGTGTTTGCATGTAAAACCTCTTTTGCTTATTTTCTGTATCGATCACTTTCTCTTAAAAACTTTTCTTTTTTTTTTTTTTTAAAGAAAAACAACTCTCCTGTCAGCCATTAATTGTGTTTTCTTTCTTTCATTTCTGAAAAAAGTTATAAATTTTTTTCCTGATATTTGTTAGTTCTTATTTATTATGTTCTCTATCCAGGTTGCTTTTTGGCTTTTCTGATTTATGCTATTTTTTTAAGATTTATTTATTTATCTATTTATTTATTTATTTATTTATTTATTCATTTATTCATTCGTGAGACACAGAGAGGCAGAGACACAGGCAGAGGGAGAGGCAGGTTCCCTGTGGGGAGCCCAATGCAGGACTCGATCCCAAGACCCCAGGATCACACCCTGTGTGGAAGGCAGACGCTCAGCCACTGAGTCACCCAGGCGTCCCTGATTTATGCTATTCTTTCAAGATATCTTTTAAAAAAAAAATTACGGGATGCCTGGGTGGCTCAGCGGCTGAGCATCTGCCTTCAGCTCAGAGCATGATCACGGTCTCGGGATCCAGTCCCACATCGGGCTCCCCGGAGGGAGCCTCTTTCTCCCTCTGCCTGTGTCTCTGCCTCTCTCTGTGTCTCTCAAGAGTAAATGAAATCTTAAAAAAAAAATGGTTGAAATATTCATCTGCTTTGTCACCACATTTTTTTAGTATTATTATTTATAGGAACATTATCAGGTTTACTCTTACCTGTTTCCACAATAATTTGTAAGGGATTAGGCCGCATTCCTCTTTGTTGCCGTTCTTAAATGAGGTAAATTGTCCTCATCTACCAAGAAGAGGCACCCTTGGTGCCAGCTACCGCCAACCCAACTTTCCCGCCGAGTACTTGGCGATGGGCTCCGCCCACGCCGCCTGCGGTCCCCCAGGCCCCGCCCACTGACTCGGCGCCCCGGCCCGGCCCCGCCCACAGACTCGGAGCCCCGCCCCCCGCCGCGCGCGCGCGCCGCTGGGCCCTCCCACTGAGCCCGCCGCCTGGAGCTCTGCCCGCGCCTCGCACAAGCCGTCGCGGCCCCGCCCAGCCTCTTGCCTCTGCCGGGTGCCGGGCTTGCTGTGTATTTTCCCGCCATTTCCAGCTCTTGGTGAGGAGAACTGGATGATTTCGGTGAGACCCCAGGGCTTCTGAGACCATGGCGGCCAAGCGGGTAGGGAATGTAACTAGAAAAGAGACTACTGAATTGCCATCACCTCTAGAAATCCGGCACGCCTTGCCCTCACAGCCCCTTAACTGCCCTTCTGAGAAGGGGATCCTCTGTACAACCTTTTAATTAACCCATTAATTGTTGTTGCTGTGCTTACACAGAGCAGGATACATATAGTAGGGCCTTTTCAGTAGTTCTTCAGGCTCGCCTCCTGGCAGAAGTTAGTGTATTGTGAGCAGGAAATCGAATCTAAAGCTCATGGCTCTGTATGATGCCTTTGTATTGAACTGATTATTCAGCACGTTTTTATCGCGAATCTTTTCTTTTGTGACAAAAATGTTGAAGTGTGGTGCAAACTAGTCATCATTCTTTTAGCAAATCTCTCCGTAAGCTACTTACAAACTGTTTTTAAACAAAAGACTTAAGGGGCAAAAAATGTTACCTTCCGTTGTGGTTATTTTCCTAATGTAAATTTAAAGGAAATCAAACTAATAAATATTATATTCTTCGACAACATATTCATGGAATTAAACATATGACTAATTACAGTTCAATATGTATCAGCTCACTTCTGTATTTTTAATAGTTTCTTCATTTAAAAATCTGAGAGTCACATTTACAAAATTACGTATTTCACCAATTATATGGATAGAATTAGTATTGACAGAAAATATAGGGTGTATAGTTGCCATATCTAACACAAAGGTTTATTCGATGTGGTAGCAAGAACTTGACACCGGGAGTAAGAAAGAAGACTTGAGTTCTAATCCTAGAGTTGACATTAAAGATGGAACTTTGGACAAGTCATTGAATTTCAGGGAACATAAGGTATAACTTTTGCACAGTGTTGGGATTGGACAAAATGTTAAATGATTTTTGAAGCCCCTTCTAGATCTATGACTGTCTGTAGACTAGAAGGGAAAGTGTACAAGCTGAGACAGTATCATTAATGAACCAGGTTTCCCTTAGACAAAATATGTCCCAAGTGGCTAATACGACATCTTCTATTATTTGATCCACTGCTTCTCCTTACGCCATCTCACTGTATCACAGGGAACTATTAGGAAAGAAATTGATTTTTTAAAAGATTGTTTTTTCTGATTACAAATTGGTGCATGAACTAATCCAGAAAACTTGAAAACAAAAAAAGTGTAAAGGTCAAACACACACACACACACACACACACACAAATATCCATAATCTTACCATTCAAAGAAATCTCATTGTCCCATTACTTTTCTAAATATATACATTTTTTTTCTCTTTTAAAAATGGTAAATATAGTTTGTGGTCTGCTTTTTTTCACTTGAGAGGTATAGGTTCTTCCTGACAACCAACTAGAATACCCACAATAATAGTGCCTGCATCCCAAAAAGATAACAGAAGCTAAGCAAATATCGTTCCATACGTTTTGGCACAGCTACAATTATATTACGCTCCAGGTTATTTTCCTCTTTCTCTTTGTTCCAGAATGGATTGGTTTCACTGTAACCAGTGTTTCCGAAAAGATGGGGACCATTTCTTTGTCACCAGCTGTGGGCATATTTTCTGTAAAAAGTGTGTGACTCTGGGTGAGTGTCTTAACTGTTTTCAGATTCAGGCAAAAAATGTTTTTAACCTAGAAATAATGATTAACCATTTCTCTGTGTGACTTGGGATAAAAATCACATATTGGGCCAAAGCTGGTATAGATATAGTAGGAAACTGTTGATTATGGAAATTTGAGGCATCCATTAATAAAGAATGATTTAGCAAATTGAATATCTAATACTTGAACACCAAAAGGTACTTGCCAGTGTTTTGAAGTCTGTGCCAGGGAAAGCCACATGGTTATCAGACTAATTAGAGAAAAAAGAAAAAATAAGAGTAATGAATAGTAATTGGGGAAAGTTTGGTTAATAACAAGAGTCATTTCTAATGGGAAGTGGTCTAGACCCATTTCAAATTGATAGAAATGATGATGATGATGAATAAGATGATAATGGTCATGGTGATAGTAGTGATATATTTGCAATTTAAAAAGTATTTCCAGAGGTGCCTGGGTGACTCAGTTGGTTAGGTGTTGGACTCTGTTTTGGCTCAGGTTGTGATCTTCTGGGTCATGGGATGGAGCCCCATCAGGCTCCGTGCTCAGTGGGGAGTCTGCTGGAAGTTTCTCTCCCTCTGCCTCCCACCATGCCCTCTCTTTCTTTCTCTCTCTCTGAAATAGAAAAATAAATCTTTTTTTAAAAAATGTATTTTCCCAGGCAGCCCGGGTGGCTCAGTGGTTTGGGCGCTGCCTTCAGCCCAGGACCTGATCCTGGGGACCCGGGATTGAGTCCCACATCGGGCTTCCTGCATGGAGCCTGCTTCTCCCTCTGCCAGTGTCTCTGCCTCTCTTTCTCTCTGTGTCTCTCATGAATAAATGAATAAAATCTTTTTTTTTTTAAGTATTTTCCAGGAGTTCCTGGGTGGCTTAGTCAGTTGAGCATCAGACTCTTGATTTCGGTTTAGGTCATGATTTCAGGGTCCTGGGATTGAGCCCCAAATCGGGCTCCGTGCTCAGCAAGGAGTCTGCTTGTCTCTCTCTCCCTCTGCTCCTGTTCCCACTTGTGCTTTCTCTCTGTTTCTAAAATAAATAAATCTTTTTAAAAAAACAAAAAGTATTTTCCACATGTAAGAATTTTATGTATCCTTATCATAACTCCGGAGGTAATTATTGGTAGACTCATTTTACAAATGAGGAACTGGTCCAGAAAGGATAAATGTTTTGACCAACTTCTTATAGCTAAAGTCTTAGAAATGAGACATGAATCTAAGGGGTCTTTTTTCACACCAACATGCTTATAAGGTATAGAAATTGCCCAGAAGAGGGATGTAGGATAGGGTGCTTTGATCAAGGAAGATTTCATAGAAGAGCTATTGCTTCAGTAGAGTTTTTTTTTTTTAAGATTTTATTTATTTATTCATGAGAGACACAAAGAGAGGCAGAGACACAGGCAGAGGGAGAAGCAGGCTTCAAACAGGAAGCCCGATGTGGGACTTGATCCCAGGACCTCGAGATCATGACCTGAGCCGAAGGCAGATGCTCAACCACTGAGCCACCCAGACAGGTTTTGAATAGTAAACTGGAGTTGCCAAGTGGATAAGGCAGGGAAGATCATTCTCGTTTAAGAGAACAGTATGTATAAAGGCATACTACATTACAAACTCATAGTGCAGGGGGCTGCACATGGTTAGGATTGGTAGAGCATAGATAATAAAGAAATGGTTAAGAGATAAGGCTAGAGAGGTAGGTAATGGCCAGATAATGGAAGGTTCTATAAACAAGACTGAAGAGCCTGAACTTTATCCTGCAGGTGGTAGAGAGCTGGGAAAGTTTGTTTTGTGTTTTGTACGTGCTAGTTCACTCTGGCAGCAATATGGAGGGAAGACAGTGAAAAATCTTTAGTCCTCAAGAAAGAGTGAGGTTACTAGCATCTGGATAAGCTTTTTTTTCTCTATATGGATCTCATGACCCTTTTAATTTATCTACTAAAGTAGCAGAACTGTTTACTATGGTAACAGCAGCTTACCTTGGAGAGGTTTGTCTCAGTGAAGCATATGTCATGTGATGTTTTCGCTTGTGGCCTTTGTCTTAATAACTAGCACAACTACTAAAGTTTTAACTTAAAAAAAAGACTAAGACTTTTAATTTTTATGTCTTTTAGTTTGGGTTAATAAGAGAATGCAAACAGGAGAGCTTCAAAGCAAGTTCCAGGAATATTAGCAAAGTGAGAACAGGGCAGGAATAATTGGGGAGTTTCTTACAGTAGCTATAGTGTGCCTGCTGTTAGGTAGATGGGGAAAAAAAAGAGCAACCTACAGTTGAAACCTTTGGTACTCTTGTGTTCTTCCTACTACTCTCATAAATGTACTCTAGTGCTCTTGCTGGAGGGTTAGAACTGCCCCCCCCCCGTCCGCAGAAAAAAACTGGAAATTCATAAAGAGGAGATAGATAGGGGCACCTGGGTGGCTCAGTCAGTTGGCTCTGGTCATAATCTTAGGATCTTGAGATCAAGCCCCATGAGGCTCCCAGATCAGTAGGGAGTCTGCTGGAGATTCTCTCTCCCCCCTCTGTCTCTCCTTCGGCCCCTCTTTCCACTTGTACACATACAGTCTCTCTCTCTCAAAATAATCCTTTTTTTAAAAAAAAGAGGAAGGGGGATCCCTGGGTGGCTTAGTGGTTTAGTGCCTGCCTTTGGTCCAGGGCACAATCCTGGAGTCCCGGGATCGATTCCCATGTCAGGCTCCTGGCATGGAGCCTGCTTCTCCCTCCTCCTGTGTCTCTGCCTCTCTCTCTATGTCTATCATAAATAAATAAATAAATAAATAAATAAATAAATAAATAAATAAATAAATAAATAAATAAATCTTTAAAAAAAATTAAAATTAAAAATTAAAAAAAAAGAGGAGGGGATCCCTGGGTGGCTCAACAGTTTAGTGCCTGCCTTCCACCCAGGGTATGATCCTGGAGTCCCGGGATCAAGTCCCGCATCAGGCTCCCTGTGTGGAGCCTGCTTCTCCCTCTGCCTGTGTCTCTGCCTCTCTCTATCTCTCTCTGTGTCTCTCATGAATAAATAAATAAAATCTTTTAAAAAATAAATAAAAATAAAAAAAGAGGAGATGGATAGAGCTACACAGTGTGAAGGTCTTACTTGTCATCAACATACAAGTTTGGAAATACTGATTTTGAGAACAGAGCTCAAGATGATGTCCTTTTATAGCACAAAAATATTCTAAATTCAGTGAGAACCTGTTTCTTACTAGCCTACTTGACCATATACTTTAGGAAGATCTTACTCCTTGCCCACAAGAACCAAACTTATTTTTCCCTTTCTCCCTTAGAAAAATGTACTGTTTGTGGAACTGCTTGCAAGCATCTGGCTCTTTCTGGTAATGTAAGTTTTTCTCCCCCTGCCACAAACCATCGTCTCCCATTCCTGGTCTATAGGAAGTACAGTTGATGCATGACTAAGCACTGAAGTTTTTAAAAAAGAAGGAAAAGAAACAAAACTCACAGGTAGCAATTTTTTTTAAAAAGGGAGGTGGTAAACAACAGAAGAATTATTTGTGGCTGTTGCTATAGAAGCATGAGGTAAGGAGGATTAGAACATGTAATCTACATTACATAGGGTAGTGGTGAGCTTCCTTTAACTTAGAATAGTGAAATAATACCAGATGCTTTAGGGAAGGTGGTAGGTATATCCTTTGCCATATTTGCCAGTATCTTATTTCATTCCCTTGTGGATATGCTCAATGTTTGTCTTACTCTCTTCATAGCTGAAACCTCAGGAGAAGATATACTTCAAAAGCCCTGTGGAGACAGCCCTGCAGTATTTTAGTCACATCTCTCAGGTATGAGAAGCAAAAGTAAAGAAAATCAGATTCACCAGGCAAATTCTAATTGCGTCTTTTTAAAAAAATCAAAGATTCTCTTTAGACTGCATTTATACACAAATGGAGGGAATTGGCTATTTGCTTTCTTCCCTGATGATACAAATCTCAACAGTAAACTTATTTACTGACCCCAAACCTGTGATAGACTGTAAAAACCAGTATGTGGGGATCCCTGGGTGGCTCAGCGGTTTAGCGCCTGCCTTCGGCCCAGGGCTTGATCCTGGAGTTTCGGGATTGATTCCCACATTGGGCTCCCTGTATGGAGCCTGCTTCTAACCCTCTGCCTGTGTCTCTGCCTCTCTCTGTCTCTCTTTCTGTGTCTCTCATGAATAAATAAATTAAAAAATCTAAAAAATAAACCCCACTACGTAGCTGACATCCTACCTTATACTTCCTGGTTCTATTAAGTAATTTTTAAGAATAAAGAAGGCTCTAGGGGTACCTGGGTGGCTCATTTGGTTAAGTGTCCCACTCCTGATAATGACTCAGGTCATGATCTCAAGATTGTAAGATCAAGTCTTGCATTTGGCTCCACACTGGGCATGGAGCCTTAATCTTAAGCCTTAATCTTAAGCAAAGATTCTCTCCCCTTCTCCCTCTAGATAAAGAATAAAGAAGATTCTAGAAGTTTTATCATCTTTCTGTGCAGACTAATGAATCTTCTAAAAATTGCTTTGGATATATAGGCCTGACCCTGTAGTCAGAGGACTTAGTGGGCTAGTTCTCAAACTTTTGCTTAAAGACCTGTGTTCAAGAAAGGATTTCTTGTTCTTCATTTCCATTTTTCAGTAACCTTTTTTAGTAATGCATATATATTTAATTCTTTATTTAGTGTTTATAATTTGTTGCCTCCATTTTAGAAAATATTTTTCTTTCCTGATGCATCATATATTTGCATACTGTTGACTTGATCAAGAAAGAGCACTAGGAATGGGGATGCCTGGGTGGCTCAGCAGTTGAGCATCTGCCTTCGGCTCAGGGTGTGATCCCAGGTCCTGGGATCAAGTCCCACGTTAGACTCACCGTGGGAAGCCTGCTTCTCCCTCTGCTTATGTCTCTGTCCCTCTCTCTCTGTGTGTGTCTCTCAGGAATAAGTAAATAAGTAATCTTTAAAAAAAAAAAAAAAGCAATAGGAATGTGGTAGGAAGAGGAGAAAAGACAGAATAACCATTTAAGAGTTCCCAAATTGTAAAAACTTTGGTTTTCCCCTTCCACTCTCCAGTCTCCACTCATTATTTTATGGCCTAGTGGAATTTCTATCTTGGCATGTTTCCTGAGATTTTATCACTGTTTTTCTTTTTTTTAAGATTTTATTTATTTATTCATTGAAGACACGGGTGGGAGGGGGGCAGAGACATAGGCAGAGGGAGAAGCAGGCTCCCTGCAGCCCCATGTGGAACTTGATCCCAGGACCCCGGGATCATGCCCTGAGCCAAAGGCAGATTCTCAACTGCTGAGCCACCCAGGACTCCCTATCACTGTTTTTCTTCTGTACTCTTACTTCTCATTCTCAGGAAAGTAGTCCTTTCCAAAATGTGAAGATGATCCTTTGTCATGTTCTGGCTTAAGTTAGTAGATTTAATTTTTTGTTGGTGGGGCTGCCCAGGTGGCTCAGCGGTTTATCACCGCCTTCAGCCCAGGGCCTGATCCTGGAGTCCTGGGATCGAGTCCCACGTCAGGCTCCCTGCATGGAGCCTGCTTCTCCCTCTGCCTCTCTCTGTCTCTCTTTCTGCTCTCTCTCTCTCTGTCTCTCATGAATAAATAAATAAAATATTTTTTAAAAATAATTATTTTTTGGTGTTTCACCCCTCAATCCTAACTCTGGAAGTAGAGGAAGGAGAATTAAAGCTTTCACTGCGTTCTGCTTTTAGTTGCTTGGGTGAGCCATCATATTTGAGATACTATTTAACATTATGAGGAGATAAAATCTCTCTGAGACTTAAGGAGAAATGTAAACAAGGTCACATGAACAAGAGAAAAAGCAGACCTTTGGTTAATAATTAAACTCAGGATTAGCTAATGATCAGTAGAGAAATTATATGTAGTCTGAATTCTAACCTGCCTAATCAAGGCACCAATTACACATGGTCAAATAATCAAGATAAAATAAACGGAAAGGGTCAGTTAATCATCACTTTGGTCAAGGACCAGTTTGGTGAAGTCAGCAGTGTCTGAAAATGTGTTTTCCTAGTCTGTGAAGTTGAATAACTGATCCAAATAATATCTAGATTGCCTCATTCAGGCCTCTTGCTAAAGTTTGTCTTTCTCAGTCAGACTTTACTGACTCTCATATATCAAATGGTAGCCCCAGCACTGTCTACTTCTTACCCTGTTTTATTTTCCATCATATCTCTAACATCATATACTTATTTATTGTCTAAATCCTGCACTGGAGTGTAGGCTCCATAAATTTAGAGATTTGGTAGGTTTTGTTTGTTGTTATATGGCAAGCTCTTTGGATAGTTCTTAATATGTAGTAGAAGTTTTAAAAATTGTTAAATGGATGATTTATGAATCATTTAAATGAATGGCATATTGATCTAAATATCTATTTATGTTTTAATCATCCCAGATTTCTGTATTGACCGGTCAAGGGCATTTTTCTGCTATACTATTCCATGGCCAGTAGTTAGAACTTCCTGTTTTAAAATCTTTACTCACCTCTAGATAAAATATCTAAGTATCTTTGGGGATTGGAGAGCCTCCTATATACCTGTGAGCTTTCTTCTAATCCCAGGTCATAGATTACACTCTATTGATAACTAGTATCGATACGCGTGCCAGTAATTTTTTCTTCTTGGGTAAAGCCTTCCCTGATTCCTGTAGGCAGATTTTTGCCCTGTTCTTTGTAATCCTAGAACACCATTGCTCTTACCTCTGCAAAAGTGTTTTAATTTATTTGTTCATAGGGCTATTTTTCTCACTAAACTGAAACTTTAAAAAGGCAGGTATGAACTTTGTATTGCCCAATGGCTAATAGGTACTTGGCACAAAATAAGTGAATAAGAAGTGTTTGTCAAATGAATAAATGCACATCAAGGCTGAGAGGGAGGTGGGAATGGTTCAAGATAAGGTCAGAGAGAGAGGCTTGAACATATAGGGACCTATAAGCCGTGGTAAGGAATTTAGATTTTCTTCTAAGTGGCAATGGACACCACTGAAGAGTTTTAAGCACAGAAATGGCATTATCTGATGTATAATATTAAAAGGGAATCTGGCTGCTGAATGAAGAATGGGCCTTGGAGAAGTTAAGATTAGAAGCAGAGAGAACATGTAAGAGGCTAATGGAATAATCTAAGCAAGACTTCTTGAGTTAAAGTGGTAGCAATAGAAATGGAGGAGGGGGGGAATCCCTGGGTGGCTCAGCGGTTTAGCACCTGCCTTTGGCCCAGGGCGTGATCCTGGAGTTCTGGGATCGAGTCCCGTGTCGGGCTCCTGGCATGGAGCCTGTTTCTCCCTCTGCCTCTCTCTCTCTCTCTCTCTCTCTCTCTCTCTATCATAAATAAATAAAATCTTTTTTTTTTTTAAAAAGAAAGAAATGGAGAGGGGTAGTCAAATCTGAGATGTTTTCTAGGAAGAACTGGGTAGAACCATTGTTGATTTAGATGTGGGAGGTGAGAAAAAGAGGAATAGAGGAAGACATCTGGGTTTTTGTCTTGAGCAAAATAAGACAAATGTATGGGATGATTATATTGAGAAGACCTCTTGAGGTAAAATACCATTTTGGATATACTAGGTTACAGATGCTTTTTAGAGCTCCAGGAGGAGAAATCACAATGGGGAATAAATGTACTATTCTTTTTTTTTTTTTAAGACAGTCTGTCTTTTTAATTTTTTTTAAGATTTTATTTATTTATTCATGAGAGACACAGAGAGAAAGGCAGAGACACAGGCAGAGGGAGAAGCAGGCTCCATGCAGGGAGCCCAACGTGGGACTCGATCCTGCGTCTCCAGGATCAGGCCCTGGGCTGAAGGCGGCGCTAAACCACTGAGCTACCCGGGCTGCCCCATAAATGTACTATTCTGAAGCTCAGGACATAGGTCAAGGATAGAGCTATAAATATGGAACTCATTAGGATATAGGTAGTTCTTAAAGTCTTGAGATTGGATGCGATCACCCAGAGAAGGAGCCCCTTCAACATCTAGTGATTAGATAGGTGAGAAGAGAAGTTAAGGAAGAGTGGCAATAAGTGAGTAGAAGCAAGGAAAGTGTGATATCACAGAAACTAAGAAAGGGAAATATTTCAAGAAGGAAGAAGTAACCAGCTGGGTCAAATACTGTTGAGACATGAAGATGAGGGCAAAGGAGGGAGGACTGGATTTGGCAACATGAAGGTAATTGATGACACAAAAGCATGTTGAACAGAGTCTTGAGAAAGGGAAACACATTGGAGTGTTTTGGTGGGTGTATGTTTACAGTCTGTCTGCTTCTTCACCTCCCAAACCTCTTATTGAACCCTCTGCAGTGTGGCTTCATTTAGACCATCTCACTGAAATTGTTCTTGCTAAGGATATTAACAGCTTCCTTGTTATCAAATCCAGTGGATACTTTGTTGTTTTTGTATTTGATTTCTCAGCAGCAACCTAGGCCTACTCTTGCCTCCTTAAAATATTCTTTCATGGCTACCATAACCAATTTCTTTCTCCCTTTTGTGTTTATCTTCATCTGTCTATCTCTTGAACAGTTCTATTTCTCAGGTTCTATACTAGACACTTACACTCTCAATGGATAATCTCATCCATTCCCATGCTTCAGTTATCATGGATTTAGGGATCACTTCTAGTTCTATTATGTGCAGTAAAGATCTCAGTTTAAATGTCACCTCAGAGGCACCTTCTCTGACTATTATATTTGAAATGGGTCCTAAAAAATAATAAAATAAAATAAAATAAAATAAAATAAAATAAAATAAAATAAAATAGGTCCTTCCCTTTATTCTCTGTCCTAGAAACCTCCC